TTAATATATGTAGAAGGAAGTTAAAAACAAAGCAAAAACACAAGGCATCCTCGAAGGGGACCAGAAGCTACAAAATGGTAGCATGCATTTAAGCCTACTGGCTCTGCTTTGGAAAGTGAGGAGGGTCTAGAGACTGCCTCCCACAAAGCTCTTCCAAGGTGCCAGTCAAGGCTACCATTTTCCCATCAAGTATAGAGCTTCAATCTTGTTCAGTTCACTGCCTTCAGGGATGGCTATCCAGGGCAAATGCCCTGCGAGGGATAACCTGCTGGGTTTGAAATTGCTGCATGACTTCCTACTTCACTCATTCATCTATCCAAGTTTTCAGAGTCCAGGAGAAAATATAAAAGTTATCTTGAGGAGCAGGAGAGTGGAATGGATGACTGTTTGGAATCTGACCCCTTGGATTTGTATCCTGGACACACAGTTTGTAATCTAAGGGAAACCACTTAAACTCTTTATGCCTCAATTTCCCTCTCTGTAATATAAGAATAGTAGGACCTGCGTCATACAGTAGAGAACAATAGGACCTATCTTGTAACATTTTCTCATTTATGACACTAAAATGAGAAAATACATGTGTGGAAGGGACCTCTTTGCTATATACAGATATTTTATAATCACTTTACAATGTCATTTTGTTCCATAGTCAAAAATAAAATAAATGTAATCTGATCCTATAAAGTCAATTCAAACTAGTAATTGTTTTAAAAAATTACTTCTTACTTAAAAACCTGGCTATAGTAAGTAGTTGACCAAATCCAAGTGTTACTGTTTTCAGTTAGGCTTCAGTTCAAATTGTATGGATTGGATGATAAATCTCATTACCTCTCTTTCTACCCCATCTCCTGCACCTGTGTCTCCTCTCACTGGGCTGCAGATTGTCAGCAGGCCTGCTGCTAAAGAGAAAGGGGGATATACTTCAGGACCTAAAGCTTGTATCTGAGACCTGGAGGACCTGTAGCCACTCCTCAGAGTGTTGGCTTTTGAGCTGGTCATGTCCAACTGCTGGCTCTCTTTATGTGTGGGATAACTGAAGGTCTGAAAGTCCTTGGTGGCAGGTGACCTACAGGGTGCAATAACTTTTCCCACCTCACGCTGTGCTTTTGCCTTGCCTGGTTTCTAGCAGACTGAATTCACAAATGACTACCTTCAGTGGCTTTCGGAGCTCTAGGGGATCCCGGTCAATGCTCCTCTGAACTATAAAGGAAATTGAAGGACGAGGAGCAAAGAGGGAAATCTTTGCCCTCTAAAGAGCACGTTTTTCCCACTGTGTATTGCTGGCTCCGGAGACTAGATGTGTAGGTCCTGCTGTTCTGCAAACTCGGTAAGAATTCTGGCCCAGTGTTGTTGGTCCTAATTACTCCAAGCCTCAAGGGAGCTATGTTTAAAATTACTTCATTTCCTATGCCCCTGGAGTAAAAAGGGGGAAAGGAACATTGTGCAGTACTCAGAATTCTGTCATCTAATGTACCAGAGCTTGATTCTTTCTCTTTCCCGGTTACTTTTACATTTTTTTTTTTTTTTTTGAGGCGGAGTTTCCCTCTTGTTACCCAGGCTGGAATGCAATGGCGCGATCTCGGCTCACCGCAACCTCCGCCTCCTGGGTTTAGGCAATTCTTCTGCCTCAGCCTCCTGAGTAGCTGGGATTACAGGCACGCGCCACCATGCCCAGCTAATGTTTTGTAGTTTTAGTAGAGATGGGGTTTCACCATGTTGACCAGGATGGTCTTGATCTCTTGACCTCGTGATCCACCCGCCTCGGCCTCCCAAAGTGCTGGGATTACAGGCGTGAGCCACCTACTTTTACATTTCTTGACAGCAAAATACAGATCTAGCTCTGTCTCACTTGTCCCCGGTAGAGATGAGAAAACAAGCCCTGTGGTAGGACCCCCTTGACTCTATGTATTTTGGTATTTGGAGGCTCTGTTTCTAGCTAAATAGTAGTAATTCAAACACTTTTGTGTGTTCTTGGTTGGGTGGGTGGGGCAGCTGGTGGTCAAGGAAGCTGGGAAAGATTTATTTTACTGATATTCTCATGGGCATGTTACAATCTTGCATCACAAACTTGGTTAGCACACAATAATTGCAAGCAATTATTAGCCATTATATTGAAAATCTAAAAAAATAAGGCTCTTGCCTAAGGTGCTCATAAATTCTCAGTTGTCAGTAATACCAAATCTTTCAGTTTAGTCTCTTTCCATGGCAGGACACGTAGACATTACAAAGATAGGAATGCCCTTGTCTATTATATACCAATAAGGGTGCCAAATTTAGCAAACAAAAATACAGGATTCCCAGGTAAAATTAAAATTCTAATAAACAACGGATATTTGTTAAAGGATACGTATGTCCAATTCCGATTTATAATGTATGATGTTTTTAGTGTGTCCCAAATATTGCATGAGAGTCCTGCATTTTACCTGTCACACTCCACTCACTCTTTGAGATGGTTCCCTTTTCCCAAATGTGAAGGCTGTTCTTTGTTACCACATCCAACCAACACTATGCCTATCTTAGGCTAAACAACCACCTTTAAAAAAAAAAGGGTCAGTGATGAGTGGGAAGGGGGATGTGGAAAATCATTCATATTAGGCCTCTCACGTCCACCCATAGAATCAAAGTGAATACTTTTTCAAAAAAGGGCTGAAATGGGAAAAGAATATCTGTGTTTCTGTGTCTGGGTATGTCTGGTTCTAAAGAATGTTCAGGCCGGGTGTGGTAGCTCATGCCTGTAATCCCAGCACTTTGGGAGGCAGAGGTGGGTGGATCACCTGAAATCAGGAGTTCAAGACCAGCCTGACCAACATGGAGAAACCTCATCTCTACTGAAGATACAAAATTAGCCGGTTGTGGTGGTGCATGCCTATAATCCCAGCTACTTGGGAAACTGAGGCAGGAGAATTGTTTGAACCTGGGAAGCAGAGGTTGCGTACCATTTCACTCCAACCTGGGCAACAAGAGTGAAACTCTTTCTCAAAAAAAAAAAAAAAGTGTTTATATCTTGGAGACTTATTAAGTACAACCTCTGTTTATTTAGGAAGCCTAAGAAATGTGTCAACCTTTTGAAAGACTTCTAATTAAACTGCTGGAGCTTTGATGTCAGAATTTGAGATTATTGTTACATATTTTTAAAAGACCCAATTTCATGTACCAGTAATGAGAAAAAAATATGTAGGCCTTTACAGATAGTTATTGAATTTATTTTAAAATACAAATTATTGCCACTTGATAAGCTGAATTTAGTGCATTAATCTCATTTTAGAAGATGTACTCTTTCCTGGAAGGGGAATGGCTACCTTTCTGACTTTTCTTTTAACAGTGACCATCAATAGTATGGTTTTCGGCGTAAAATCAAGATTATATGTTACTCCGACAGCTGCTGAATATTCAAAAGGCAATCAATGGTTTCAGATAGGTGTATTTTATGAGAGGTCAAGGAGGGAGAACCAGCGTATGTTGAGTGTCTATTATGGGTTAGAGAATGTATGCTTCACATGTGCTTCTGATCTAACCAATAACATACAGAGGGTGATCGAGGTAAGTAATTTTCCTTAAGTCATAAAATTATATGATTCTGAAAGTGCCTTATCTAATGTGACTCCTTTTTGATTTTCCTTACAGTCTTCACCTGCAGTTACTTTGCTTTTCAGGACTCTGAGCAAAAATCTCACACTTATTAACTTTACTTCCAACTCTGATAATCTACGTGGCAATTTCTTATATGGCCAACATTTTTAAAATTTCTTTTGATGGGGTTATTATAAGTTATTCCCAATGTTATTTTCAAAATACATTTTAAATAAAATGATATTTATTTGTGGATCTCTAACCCCTCACCTGTACTATATATTTAATTTTATGTTTAAGATGTAAAGCATCTTGGAAATTAAAGATTTCAACCTCTAACCCAGTGAACATGTCACATGGAAAACATACTTCTATTTTACCTTTTAGTGGTACAATGATCATGAGTTTTCAAGGCACTTTATTCAATAGAGAGCGGTTTGCAATGAAGTCTGTGTAGTGAGCTGGCATTGCCTCCCAGAAACTTTTCCTCACAAATTCTAGTTCTGCCTTCTAGGGTAAACATAAATAAATTTAAATCCTCCCCCTACCCAACCCAGGTCCATTTGCTAAACTGCTTAACTTCTCAGTACATTTATAGCCTGGAATTTTTACTATCTGATGCCCAAACAAAGAATATACATATTTTTTGGGACAGTGTCTTGCTCTGTTACCCAGGCTGGAGTGCAATGGTACGGTTTTGGTTTACTGCAACTTCTGCCTCCCAGGTTCAAGTGATTCTCCTGCCTCAGCCTCCTGAGTAGCTGGAATTACAGGTGCATGCCACCATGCCTGGCTAATTTTTGTATTTTTGGTAGAGACAAGGTTTCATCAGGTTGGCCACGTTGGTATTGAACTCCCGACCTCCTGATCTGCCCAACTTGACCTCCTGAAGTGCTGGGATTACAGGTGTGAGCCACCACACCCAGCAGAGAGGATAATATTAAAAATGGTTTTGAATCTTATTTCTACACAATAAGAAAAAACATACAAAAGTAGCAATTCATTACAGGGAAATTTAAGGGATAATTCTGTATTTCCTTATATATGTATACACATATAGACATATACAAATATATACATGTATGTATTTGTGTATTTCCTGCTTAATGGTAATATATTAGGAACATAAAGCAGGAGCAAAGTACCTCTATTCAGTTGTCTCTTGGAGTAATTCTTCCTTTGATATGTAGGGGACTACAACTAGTAAATAAGTAGCCAACATTTCTATGTTGGGTTTAAGGCATCTTGCATCCATAAATTTCATAAATGCAATTCCATAAATGACATTGGAATTTTTTTTCTTCAGAAATAATCTTATGGAATGGTCAACGGTTTTCTTTGTAACACAAAGCACGTACAGCAGAGTATCACACAACTGTTAATACATCTGCTTTTATAATCACGTTGTGACTATCTCTCCCATTCCGCAGATCATCTTTCGTAAGATCAGCGATGTGAAGAAGGAGGAGGAGGAGCGCCTCCGGCAGAAGAATGAGGTGACTCTCAGCATCCCTGTGGACCACCCGGTCAGAAAGCTCTTCCAGAAGTTCAAGCAGCAGAAGGAGCTGCGCAATCAGGGGTCAACACAGAGTGACCCCGAGAGGAACCAACTCCAGGTAGAAAGCCGCTCCTTACAGAATGGAGCCTCCATCACTGGCACCAGTGTGGTGACTGTGTCACAGATTACTCCCATTCAGACATCTCTGGCCTATGTGAAAACCAGCGAATCACTTAAGCAGAACAACCGTGATGCCATGGAACTCAAGCCCAATGGCGGTGCTGATCAAAAATGTCTCAAAGTCAACAGCCCAATAAGAATGAAGAATGGAAATGGGAAAGGGTGGCTGCGACTCAAGAATAATATGGGAGCCCATGAGGAGAAAAAGGAAGACTGGAATAATGTCACAAAAGCTGAGTCCATGGGGCTATTGTCCGAGGACCCCAAGAGCAGTGATTCAGAGAACAGTGTGACCAAAAACCCATTAAGGAAAACAGACTCTTGTGACAGTGGCATTACAAAAAGTGACCTTCGTTTGGATAAGGCTGGGGAGGCCCGAAGTCCACTAGAGCACAGTCCCATTCAGGCTGATGCCAAGCACCCCTTTTATCCCATCCCTGAGCAGGCCTTACAGACCACACTGCAGGAAGTCAAACATGAACTCAAAGAGGACATCCAGCTGCTCAGCTGCAGAATGACTGCTCTAGAAAAGCAGGTGGCAGAAATTTTAAAAATACTGTCAGAGAAAAGTGTCCCCCAGTCCTCATCACCCAAATCCCAAATGCCACTCCAAGTACCTCCCCAAATACCATGTCAGGATATTTTTAGTGTTTCAAGGCCTGAATCACCTGAATCTGACAAAGATGAAATTCACTTTTAATATATATACATATATATTTGTTAATATATTAAAAACAGTATATACATCTATATACATGTGTATATACCGTATATACATATATATATTTTCACTTGCTTTCAATATGATAACAACGTGGATTTTGATATGTAAATATTGCATGTCCAGCTGGATTCTGGCCTGCCAAAGAAGATGATTATTAAACACATAGATATTGCTTGTATATTATGCAGTTGACTGCATGCACACTTTACATTTGTTTATAATCTCTAATCTATAATAAAAGAGTATGATTTTTGTTACCCAAGGCAATGTAATATTTGAAGAATCAGGGTCCAACCTGCCAATGTTGCCATGACAAATTTGATCTCAGGCTGAGTATGTATATCGAGCTATCATTTTCTCACTGTTCTGTTAAAATTGTAGATTAATGCCAAGGAAGAGTTCGGTCTTTTAAACTATTAGTACCACGTTATGATCTCTTTGCATAGGATATTTTTCTGTAACTTAAGTGAGGTTCTTTTCCCCTGCAGGCATTGTTTGCTCCATTTAAATGACTGTTTTGTTGCCTAAGTCAGATAACAGTGTGGGATATTGAAAACTTTTTGCTATGGGTTTTGTGCATGAATTACATTTTTGCTCAACTATACCTCTCCTTTTTTAACATTATACTTAGATAGTAATCATTAGCTCTTCTGTAAGGAAATCCCTACTCCATCCTTCTTGGAGAACAGCTGCCATCTTGTAGGCTGACATTATCAACATCATAAATACTAAATTATTAATGTAGCGTATGTTATTATAGAAGCACTGCACCACAGGGTATAAGGGCCTTTTGACAATTCATGTAAGAGATGCTGAATTTCCAAAGCTGATGAATGCTCTAAATTTGTATTTCCAAAACATGTTCAAGAGTGACGTTGAAAGGTTTCTTAGCAAATAAACATACAAAAAAAAAAGCATTTAAGTAATCATATCAAAATGCTAACTATTGTGATATAAAAGAAAAAAGAATGTAAACAGATAAATTTTTGTGGCATATCTGTAACTTAGAAGAATGAAACACCAGTACAGATTGTTGACACATGAATCTTAGTGCTTGTAGCGATAACACATGAAATGTGGTAAGAAACAAACAAACCAAGTAGTAGATATTAAGTTGCTCGACTCAGATAACTGCTTTTCTATCATTTTATTGTGGTTACAGTTTTTGAAAGCTTTTTTTGCATGCAGTTCTACTGCTGGATTTCTCCTGAGTTGATTCAACAAACTATTGTGGCTCAGGCAGATCCACTTATGAAAGGGGGATACTAAAGACTGAATTGTAGTCTTTTGAATTCAAATCCTCTTTGTAGAAAGTGCCTATTATCAAGTTTTTCTAAAAAGTCACAAAGAGTTGTCCTGTATATAGCTAGTCCCTTAAATGATATGGATTGAGAATAAAATACACATTCACTTGTAAGAACCCATGAGAACTTATTTCTTTTGACCAAAGTATATTTTAGGAAGTTGTTCAGAGAAGCGTACTTTTCAGTCAGTGCATGCACAGCATTTAACATTGGGAGCAGGGGAGTTAGTGTTTGCACAAAGTTGAAAAAATATGCTAGTAGTTTATATATTACTGGACTACCTGTACATATATGTTAACAATATGCAAAAGTTGATGGCAAAATCGAAGGAGATATTTTGGTCTATTATACACATTTTTAGGCGCTTTTCTATCTCCCAGTATCCCCAACCAAAGCCACTAGAACTGAAAGACACATTATCACATTCAGACTCGCAAAGTGCAAAACAGTAATTTATAAAAACAGTTGCTATTTTAGAATTTCTATTGAACTTCACATGCCCACAAGATGTGCCTCTAATTTAGGAGTCTCAAAACATATGTGCCATGGGCTACGTTTTCCTTTCTTTATGCATATGACTTCCACTAACCATAATGGAAGTTTTCAGGGGAGCACATTCTCCATGTAATGCTACAATATCTACCTACCACAAACACAACAAAATGAAATAATTATGGAGTAAGGTATCTGCCTTGAAATTGGGATTTTTTTGCTTTCATGGTAAGGATGATATCTTTTTCTTGACCTCTGACATTTATTGAATTTCAGGGTGTTTTTCTATTTGTTTAAGCCAAGTTTGGCTTAAGCTTTTAAAGGTGAATGTGTGATTAAAATAAAAACCTGAGTACAGAGGTTGTTAGTTTAACTTTAGCTGCTACTTCAAAAATAACTGTTGGTATAAAGCTATAAAAGAATGACTGTGAACAGCATGATAATTTGAAGTTCTAATTCATGCCTTTACATATTAGTGGTACAAATATTTACTGTGTTTTGACATTGATGTAGAGTTTCACCTAATCAACCGACAATATTATTGTTCCTATATGCAAGAAACATAATGGTTTTGAATTACTCCAGATTGTTAAGAAGGAGGGAAAGTACCAATTGTTTGTTTATGGTGCAGTTATCATAGTGTTTTTTCAGCCACCTCTGTTCTCTGTGTGCATGATATGATGAGGTGCTGAATTCACCCTGCTGTTTTCAGCAGGAATGTGTGTATTCAGCAAACATTGTATATAGAGTAGTCTTTTAGGTTCCCAGATTCTATAAATCTTAGCAGTTGAATTTACTCAGATTTGGATGAAGGTTGAACACTTGCTTTAATACATGCAATAATGATACAATCATGTTCTGTGTTGCCTCAGCTAGCACATAGACAGTAGATGCTCTTTTGGGGACCAGATGACTGCATGTTTTATTCCTGCACTGTATAGAGGCTCTTGGTGCATCCAGAATAAAAATTTTAATATTTCTAAGTAATGTATTCATAGGAGTAAATGGATATGTATTTGAAATCCAAACATTTTCCAAAGCAATTTATGCACCTTCAATATTTTTCTATGATGTTATTAATAAGTAAGATCAGATGCCGTATCCTCGACAGGTGGTTGTAACATGATAGCAAAAGTCAAACGAGAATGGAAATGTGAGCAATGCATTATAATGGCAAGTTCTATCAGTCTGTATCAGGATATTGTTGCACTGAATGTGATCTAACAGATGGAAGAGCTTAAGATAAAAGGCAAATAGGCACACAAAAGCTGGATGACAATACCAAAGCTATATGAATGGTACTTAAAATGGTTCAGGCATAGTGGTAAATACAGGCCCATATTTCATTGTTAAAATGGAAAAGTTTTATGACACTAGTTGCATCTCACATTAAGTATAGGACTAAAAATATCCTAAGTATTTATTACAAACAACTTTTTGCATAGCAGAGAAAAACAATTTGAAAATTTGGGGTTTGAAATTGCTCCTAGAATAAATGTGTACTTCTCTTGTACTCAACACTTTAATAGAAAAATTAGTTATGACCACCAACTACAGTACCATTATCAAAATTAACCTTATTGGAGCCCAAATGCAAATCACATCTTCCCTTCTGTTTAAGGACATTTTGTTCAACCTGTGAGATCTGGTCCATTTTAAATAACTAAAGCCATTTGGAATTTTTTTTTTAAATATTAGTCTTCAGAGCAGTGACTGTTTTGAAGTATGCAGTGGCAGGTATTTGTGAAATTATTCATCATATTCCTAATTAATTCTACTATCTTGTATAATTTTTACCTTTTAAGCAATTTTCTCCGAGTTTATTTTCCAAAATTTCATGTAGGTAATGAGAACATTTATCTAAAATGTGCATATCACACATGGATAACTTTCAAATATTAATATTTTATAACCATGTTAATGTTGTACTAAAATTTTTCTATTAGGTTTAAAAGTAGTTCTCTTCTTAATGGAAAGGGGGGAAAGACAAAAACAGTTTTTTGGAAAACGTCTTAAGATTAGTATCTGAGCTTTGTCTTGGATTCTGAATTTAGCTTTGCTACAAACTAGAAGTGTAATTATAGGCAAGTTCACTGTTTGTAGTGTACCGAATACTACCATTTCTCCACCAATAAATAAGAAAACAAAGATAACAGCTGTTGCCTTCTTATATCAAGACGCCATTAGGTCAATGGAAAAATTATCTTTCTTACAGGTGAAAATCACATTATGACAAATTATCACCTTTTCATTCTTTCATAGAAGAGTATCCATGATGAACTCTCTATCAAAATATTCTTCTAGATTTTAGAAGAGATTTCAGGGATTGATGGCGATGTGATTTCTATCTAAATATTCTTTTAGGTTTTAGAGATTTCTCTGGTCAGAGGTTGATTGAGGCATTATTTGCTAAATAATTATTAGTCAGTGGCATGTAAACATAAAACTTGATACTTATCTGGGAATTTAGAACTACAAATCAAATAAACATAGAGAGAATGAGGCTCCTCTGAGGGAAGAGAGAAAGAGGAGAAAGGTAAATTTTATGATTTTTCTTAATTCCACTTATACTGCTCGGGAGAAATTCTCAGTATGCATATTGGTAAGCATCCAAGGTATAGAATAGTTCATTGATATATCTATGTAACAAAACTAAATATGTGCCCCTTAAATTTATACAAATAAAAACTAGAGTAGTTCATCCTTCAACTTTTTATATTAAAATAATCATGATATATGATTCCACATGGGCAGACACCCTTATAACAAAATTCTTAACTATATGCTATGTGTTATAAGTTTTGGTCTGTATTCTGACTTAAGATTTTCTATCACTTCATTTTTAGGTTAAGACCCATGTGTTTGCATTCTTTATGAGGGGCAGGGCCAGTGACGATTTGGACTTGGAACTAGGAAGATGATGAAGGTGAGGTCTGAGAAAAGACTGAGTAGAATCTATCTGCTTCCTTACTCTTAGGCTTAGACGTTAAATAAGTCAACTAAGCTTATATTTATCAAGCGCTCACTATGATAAGCATTTTATTTAGGTTATCAAATTTATTTCTTGCAACAATCCTATGAAGGTATAGGTTAAGGAACTTGTCCAGGATAGCAGTCAGACCTTAGGGAGAAAACTTTATTTCATAGAATACTGACATTACAAGAACTATCTAGTTCAACCATTTAGTCTAAGTTTTTCCAAACACATATTTTTAAATATTTCTTAAATAATTCTTAAAAATTTCAGTGTATAATGTGAATGTGAATGTGAATGTAATTGTTTGGTTTTTCTTGGTGGATCAGAGTCAATGACAGAGGTTGAAATCATACTGTCTTAAGCAAAAAGTGCTCTGTCCCAATAGTGGAGTTTTCATTCACTTCTCCCAACAGTTGAAAGACATCAGCCAAAGTAAACTGTCAAATGTGCTTATAAATAAGAAGCATGTTTGATGTATGGTCACTGGTATCAACATTTTCTTTTCCAGTTGAATTTTAACCTAAAGAGGTAGGCAATGCATAGTGGTTAAGGAAATTAAAAGTCACTCAGGATTTTTTTCTATAATTACTTTTTATTTTTAATAGTGGGATTTGGATGAGACTCAGGAATTTATTTTTGAAATTTATTTTTTGACCCATGGGTTTTAAGTAGATTATTCAGATATTTTTATTGATTGCTCTGATGTTGGCTTCTTGGCCAGACCACTATTAAATGCATTATCCAAATGAGCTATTTCTGTTTAGAATGGCAACTTGTGTTCTTATTTCCAAAATTAATGAGCTCATAGTATGTATATTTACTTCAGAGAGTTTCAATAACTTTCCCTGATGAAAAAACGTTAATTTTCCGAATGTGATTTGTTTTACCGTTTGAGATTTCTAAAGCAAGTGTCTTGAGATAAGGAGAAAAAACAAGATACGACAACACTGCATGCAGGAATCTGCAGCCCAAACCATCTTGTTTTCACTTGGTTAGTAACTGAGCCGGAGGTAATCACAGAAAGGAACAAACCTACTTTTAACATAATGACTGTGAAGGACCCCACTGACACTATCCAAAGCTTTTTAGAGTCAGCTCACTTCCATCCTGGCTTTTACATTATCACTGCATGATTATTTAAATGAGGTCATGACTTGTACTACTTGTAAAGTCCGTTGGTCAAAGAACAGTAGACCTGAAAGTGCAGCTTATGGCCAGAGTTATAACTGAGGAAATGGGAGTTTTCTGTCTGTGGTGCCTTTTAAATAGCTTTGTTTATTTGTTTTTCAAGATGACACATTTTCATTACCATTGTTAAGGTTTCAACAAAACCTTTGGAAGCAGTTTGAAAGCTTTTCAAATGTTGGGGCCTTTTGTAGAAAGAAGTGCTCTCCCACCAACCAATGAGTTTAGAACCTCTGGTTCTGGCCTACAAATGCAATCAATCCCTTAAGCACTTGGCTGGTTGGGCTGCATTTTGATGGGAAAAAGCCAAAAAGATCGGACCACTCTTTCTCAATCATGCAGAAGCACTGACTAGTGAATGACCAAAGCAGTCAAAGCCAAAATATCCACCCTGACACTTCAATAAACCAGACTGAGTATCCATAATAACTAACTTAAGTAATTTTATCTTCATTCCCTGCTAAATCATATTTCATATTATAAAATGTAAACTTTTCCCACTATGGTCAGACTCTCCCTTGAGTTAGAGAAATTGGACTTTGGCAAAAAGCAGCATAAAGGTTACTGTTGTTCCCATTGTTGTCATGGACCCCTCATTTGCTCCTCAACTTTTTCAACGAAATTATGCTGAGAAAGATTCCTGATGAGGCCGAGACTGCAAACAGGAAGAATACCTAGCTAGTAAACTATGCAAAATCACAACAAAGATTCATTTTTAATTTCGTGTCAAAGTGTTTGATAGACCTAAGTATTTAATATTGGTATACTATGTCACAGCTATGAACTGTCAACTTTCACAAAGTCCAAATGCACTTTTATTTAACATCAAGATTATCTAACATATTTAATTTTTAGAAAAAATAGTGATCAGGGTTGCTTTTTTGACCTCTGCAGGGTTGTTTTCACATTGCTATACAGATATTTTTTGAGACAGTTTCACTCTTGTTGCCCAAGTTGGAGTGCGATGGCAGCCTCGGCTCACTGCAACCTCCACCTCCCAGGTTCAAGTGATTCTCCTGCCTCAGCCTCCAGAGTAGCTGGGATTACAGGTGTGTGCCACCACAGCTGGCTAATTTTTTGTATTTTTAGTAGAAACAGGGTTTCACCATGTTAGCCAGGCTGGTCTCGAAATCCCGACCTCAGGTGATCCCGCACGCCTAGACCTCCCAACGTGCTGGGATTACAGGCGTGAGCCACCGCACCGGACCATTGCTATTCTTATGACCCTTTATCAGAGAGGGGATAAGTGTAGTGTTCACTTACATCTCCTTAGGGTTGACTGCACCGGCATCTTCCATCAAGCAGTCGCCTTCCACTTTAGAACCTGTTCACAGTTAGCAAGAGGGAATATGCATTTCATATTAGGAACAGATTTCTTAAGTGATGTTAAATTAAAAGTGGAAACCAGTTTAGAACCATTTTTTCACCCTAAAACATCCATTGTAGTTTGTTGAAAGAGCAATGACTTTTAGAAGTGCTTGGTACTCAAACAGCACAAAATGTGCAGATTTATGATATATTGAAAACTATAGAGTTCTTTTTATTCTATGTTCTAGTGACTTTGTTTACACTAGTTGTGACATTTTGTATACTACAATGTAAATTCCTTACTATAACACTAATGTTACTATGGTAATTAATTTCGCAACTTCTTAAATGTTTTTGTCACTGCAGTCATATTAGTGAGAATTTGGGGGTATTAAAAATGCCTCTGCCTTTAAAGGTTAATTCACTGGAAATAATTGATTCATGCATTGACAAAGGAAACAATGCAAAAATTTCATGTGAGATGTTTTTAATACCATTATGCTAAGCAGTACTTGTTGGCTCTTTTCAAAATCTGATTCATGCTAAGCAGATCCTTTTTTCTACTTAAAGATACTGCAATGTATATTGTAGACATTTTGTATGTACTGTTGACTTATCACCTGATTGCTGACAGGCTGTGTGAAAATATTTTAACTTTGTGACTTTAGGGTCAATTATGAAATAATTGTGATCAAAATTCAACTGCTTCTGGGAAGTTTGTGGTGATTATCACTTTATTTAACGTTTGTTCTCAAGAAACAGTGATTTTGAAATGTAAATTGGCAGGTGGAAGCTTTTAGCTCAGAAGAATTCTGGGTTTCAGCACAATAAACTGTATTTCATCAGGGAGGATTAATTTTGTTTTTTTTTCACACTTTATTTAAATGTGGATATTTTTTCATGATACAGAATAAAATGTGCATTTTATGGAACTTATTTGAATTTGGTCTTTGTTGGAAATTGCTATTTTGAATTTAGTTAAATAAGTGAAAAGCTCCCCAATATTAAAACACAAAGAAATAGGTTTAAAGGAAACAGTCTTTTGATATATTAGAATGCCAATGTTATTTTAAACGTTCATATTTGTCCTCTGATAAATTGTATAAATGATAAAGTAGTATCATATCAGAAATTACAAGTTTAAGCTCCAGGAGTACATTTGGTTAAATTAGAATATTTCTCTGTACCATGAAAGATAGAGATAATGAGCAAATCCAAATAGGAATTTGGAGAAATCCTTATTTTAAAGTGGGATTTAAAAAAATGTTTCTCTATCAATATTTCTAAAATTCTATTAATACCATAACATTATGAGTTTTTTTGGAGCAGTGACATTTAGAGACTTAAAGGGCAGAATGTACATGGAATAAAAGTATACTTTTTCTCATTAAAAAAAATATAAATGGCTTTATCAAATTCCTATTAAAAAACAAGAGCTGAATATGTAACATACGATGTCTGTGACACATGAGAACTGCAGGGTTTTTTTTCCAACTAAAAAATAACAAGTTTTAGGAACACTTTTTGGAACATCACTGAAAAGTTATTCATACTTATGGCTATGTAAAATTACATTTTGATTACAGAGCAACCAAATAAAGCTTTGTCTTTTCTTTGGATATATTAGAATATAAGTAGAGGATTCTAGAGTTAGTTTTCAATTACATAGGAATCAAGGATATGAT